AATTTAAGGGGTGTTGGGTGCGTTGAAGGGCTGTTTGGATGGTCGTGGGAATTGACCCGCCTGATGCTCCGGAAGCTGGGTGCAAACTGAACATGAAAAGCTTACAAAGTTCATTTAGCAAAAGTAGAGCACTGACCTATTTCATGACGAAGTCGTCTTAATCATGTCACAAATTTTTGTTGAGCAGACATCCTTGTTCAACATTTGGTACAAGTGCCTCGCGATGGCCAAGAAAGAAGAGGAAGATTGGGTCACCTACTCGAGACGTGTACGTCGTGAGTGCGAAGGTTCACAATTTCACAAAATGATCGCCGACCAGTGCAAGTGCATCGTTCACGTTTGCGGCCTACAAGCAGCCAAAGATGCGGACATACGAACAAGAATACTGAGCAAGATTGAACAGAATCCTGACATCACATTGCAGCAAGTGACCGGTGAGTGCCAGAGAATGACGAACCTGAAGTATGATACATCAATGATTCAGCAGTTGTCCAATACGAACGAGCACGACCTCATTTCTGCAGTCAACCGAGCTCCCCAAAAAGCATCAACTCATTTGAGTCCATCACATTCCAAACCTCTCTCTGCTTGTTGGTTTTGTAGAGAATGTCATTTTGCTAGATACTGGCCATCTAAGAATCACGTTTGCAACCGATGCGGCAGAAGAGGTCATAAAGAGTCGTGTTGTTTGGTACGTAGTTCTACGTTGTCCGGAAAGAAGCGCAACAATGCCACACCGTTCAGACGGCCCGATGGAATCAGAACAATCACTGCGACTTTCAAGGCTGATGGCGTCAACAGGCTTAAGTACACCATGGTGAAAATAAATGGCAAGCAAGTCAAGTTACAAGTTGATACTGTTTCAGATATCATTCTGATCACTAGCGACACGTGGCGCAGGCAGGAGCGGTCGACACTCGTACGGCACGGAATGTTTCAGGTGGTAAGTAAAAATTGTTTGCTAAATTGAACTGCCAAGTCGGTTTCCGAGGCCAAAAAAGCCACACAACGTGCTTTGTGACAAACCGACCGGGAATATAGTTGCTGTAACTCGACTGGATGGAGGAGTTGAAATTGCTTGATCAGCCAATAAACACTGTATGTCAGCCGCCGCAAGTCATCGAGCTGTCGCAGCCATCGATATCAAGTCCGACAGTTCAAGGTCAGATTTCGCAGATGGAAAGACGCCACGAAGCAATGTTCCAACCTGGTCCAGAATGCTACAGAATGGCTATTGCTGCCCTGAACTTCAAGTCAGTCACTAAACCAGTATCCAGATCAAAGCGCCTTGTACATATCAGGAAAGAAAAGCATTACAGTTGTCATCTGGGGGGAAATCGAAGAGACAGGGCGCGTCATTCCAAAATTGGTGATATGGTGTGCGCGCGAGACTTCCAAGGACCGAGGAGGTGGTCGTCAGGAAGAGTGACAAGCAGAAAGGGCCAAATCATTTACGACCTAATGGTAGGAACTGAGAAGTGGGTCACGCGCGCCAATCAGCTGAGGCCGAATCACGGCAAGATTCAAAGTTCCTCGGAATTACCATCCTTACCGTGAGATATCCTGCTAGACACGTTTGGTATGGAAGAGGAAGCTGTACGGCTACGTGGATCACAAGAGAACATGCAAACATCAGATGATACACAATGCAGGCCGATCCGAAAGCGAAGAGTACCATAATTGCTACAAGTTGACGCCAAGACGAATACCTATGAACGAAATTCAGTGCAAACAGTACGTAAGCAGACTCAATTCGAAAAGGGAGATAACCGGAGTGCGCGGCATAAGAACGTGACACGGTTTTGAGACGCCTATCATCGGGACACAGGTTGCTACCCGACCGGCGGTATCAGGGCTGAGTCACACTGGAAGCAGAGGAAATCAATACATCATACGGGTTGCTACCCGATCGGCGGTAACACAGTTAAGTCACTCCGGTAGCTGATAAACTCAGACCGTCAGCATGTAAAAGGTTGCTACGGGAGATGATAGATTGTGACCTATAAAATGAACCATGATATGTACCTAATATACTTCGGTATAATGGGCTTCGGTTTTGTTTCTTTCCCGGCTGGGCTGGCGTGGCGGAGATCATAGGGAACGCAGCGTTACAACACTTGGCCACCCCTCCTCTTCTTCCATCCAGACACCGGGCGCGCAACCAACGCACGACGCGGGACTCGGTGGGCTGGCATGCGCAACACGTGGTCTAGCTATCTGCGCCTGGTGCGAAATATATTGGTGCTGAGCGGTACACTCGCTCTTCCAGCATCAAATAGGCGACTATGTAAGTGGTAGCAGAAATTGGTGGAAATAAGTCAATTGCCAAGTTGTTGAACCCAGTGATCAAACTGACTTAAGTGTTGCTGACACTGTGACGAAAATGGTTCTGAATGTACATAAACGAACGGGGTACGCAAACAGGGTCAAACATCCATCAAATCCAGTTGCTTAGTGAATAAGGTCATAGACGTCTCTTCATCGATTAAATAAGATAAGCTGGTTGGGGAAAGTTGCAGTCAAGCATGGACGTTACCACTTACATTAAAATGGAGGCGACAACAGGCTCAATATTGTGATAAGATGCGCGACGGGCAATATCCTTGAAGACAAAAATAGCTTCCTGGGACGGATCTTCCTGACTGTCCTCGGGATCGATTTCGGCTCTGTAAGGTGTTTAAAAGAAATAATGATCCCAGTCAAAATAGCCATACGAATCCGCACGTAACTCTGAGAACTTCAAAAGATAATTACAAAGCTCCTTTTGATGACCGCATGGTTGTTGTGATTTTGATAGATAAGGTAGCCCAAAGGAGGACTTCGTGAAAGCACATTCTGACAGAAGGCGATACAACCGCACGAAATTCGAATGCACAGATTACCTCTAAAGGATGAATCAAGAAGCAAAGCAATCAGGGGACTATACAACAGTCATATTCAGTAGAAAAAACTGGATTAGGTACGGATGAGTGGTGTTAACCTTCCCCCGGAGAGTCATGCGAACCAAAGCATCTTGAGCGATGGAAACCCTATTCAAGTGTAAAATCTTGCTTCAGGATTGACAAGCGTGTACGCACGCGCTTACTATTACAGGTGACGGCCTGGAGTAAGTGAGTAGGTTTACTTATCAATTGAGTTGTACACTGGTCAGTGACAATATTGGAGAGGAAGTTCCGCGACGAATTCCACCTTGTATCCATTAGCCAGAGGCGTTTCATAATGATATTAATATACGTAGATTGCTCTAAAGTGCGAGAAACTGATTCTAAAATAGGAACATACCAGTATACATAGAAATGACCGTGTTCTTGCATTTGTGAGTATTTAAAGCCATTGTCGGCCTGATGGATGTTGTTTGCATTCACCCTGGGATATTTCATCAGATAAGAACATGGATAATACCACTACCAAATCAAAGAAACTATCGTTTTTAGTGTGGGGTTTCCCTATACCTTAATCGTGGTTGGCAGACCGTTCCACAAAACGGCCTATCTGTTAAGAAAATGGTTAGAGCGCATGGTTGTTATGTTTACTGGTACAAGTCGCGTACAACTGCTGTGGAGTTTGTGAGGGTTATTATGCCTCATCTCTAAAGCAAACAGGCAGTACCTTTTCTGATATAGCAAATTGCGTAAGAGCATCAAGTTGTGCTTCAGATGTCACAATCAGAAAGGCTCGAAGTGAAGTTGTTGGCAACGGTTTGCGGGGGATTAGGGTTTACCATGCCTATTCATTAGCCCCGGGAACAAGTAAAGGCTGTTGTTTGTTCCACGACAAAAGATAGTAATGAGTTCCTTTGTTTTGCAATTCATTCGTATAACATATTCTTCCTCATTTCGCAGTTGCATCGATTAAACACGCGCAAGCTGATGATCCACTAGAGCGGTCGTAATATGTATGAAGTCTCTAGTCTTGTGAAATCGCGTTGACAATTTTCGCGCTTTTAGGTAGAGTAACTGTTCAGTTGGATTCTTGGAGTCGTAAGCACCACCTTTCACCTGTGAAGTGAGATAGGTTTTGACATGGTGGAGGTTAGCAAAGAACTGTGCTGCTGTTGGGCAAACGTTGGTGGACAGAAAATATGCCTACCAGTGGGAAGTTGGAGATGTGTCCAGTTAATTCTCAGGATGAAATATTGAGAGCGCGTCCATGTTGATGTTCACTTTGATACTGAAGATAAATTGGGATATTTCTGTTCAACTTCGTCGTGCACTCCATCTTGGAGTGTTCCCTTGCGGAGCCTCACGATGTAGGCGTTGAAGTGCTGCCTGGTGAAAAGCTAGTTGATCTTGATCATACGGACGAGATTGTCCTGCTTTTCAATGATGTTGGGGCAGCACAATCAACCCTGAATAACCTGTCTAGAGTGGCCCCATTATTTGACATGCGCTTCGCACCTTTAGAGTGCAAAGCGCTGTTACAGGACCGCCAGCCACTTCATGGCCCCCAGAGGGCGAAGAACTCGAAGTAGTCGATCACTCTACCTATCTTGGCAGCTGTATCAAGAATGATGGGCACATAGCAACTGAAGTCAGTTCACTCACTGCAAAAGTTAGAACTGCCATTTTGAATCTGCCACATCTGTGGCGTAACAAAAGGGATTTCCCCCAGTCTATAAGACCGTGCATACAAGGCCACAGTAAGGGCCGTCCTACTCTAGGGAAGCGAGACTTGGCCCCCTTCGATCACCGTTGTCTGCGCAGCATTGCTGGTGTCGGATGGCACCAGCGTGTCTGCAAGGATGAGAAATAAATAAATGTTTTATTTCCGACAGTGTGGGACACATCTAACAAGGCATGATCATAGTAATACAGAGCGTGTAATCAGTAACTGTGACGTGTTACTAGGTAACCAATATGTACTGATGTTTTATGCATGTATGTAAGTGCATGGGTCATTAATAATGTTGAGTGAAGTTGGTACTTGTGCTGAAGTTGTGGTTGTGTTCGGTGAATTCACCAACAGAGGAAGAGATCAAATAATATCTTCGAACCGGCTTCCGTCCGTGAGTGGGGGAAGATCCTCCGGAAAAGCATGAAGCAGTGGCTTTATTTAGCGGCGAATCATATACGCCACGTCAGTGTTGTTAAACAGACATTTCTGGCTTTTTATAGGGAGAACGCTTACCAGGCAAAAACCACCACGTTTCAGGACACTGCCGCCGAATCACTCGCTGGTACAGGGTTAACCCGAACCACCCAGCTGGCACCATGTGGAATCTGTTCGGCTAGCGCAAGCGAGTACTAAGCAGTGATAAACAGGCTAGTTCCTTAGAACAACAGATAGTACTAAATAAATAGAGTCGGCTAGCGCCCGTACTACGTACGCTGGGACACCGCTTAACTAGGAGGGCCTTGTTCGATTTGCCAGAGGTGGAGTTGCGCAAAGCTCGAAGTGGAAATAAGTTGAGTTGGCAGCGGAAAAGGAAGTCACTAAGGACCAAACTCGGTGCCGTCGGTCCGTCTCGCCTTCCACGAAGGGGTCAACATGACTCGCCTTGTGTTTGGTTAGAGACTCTACAGGACAGCGCTCGCAGCCGACACCAGTGGCGCGTCTGCTGTCATCTCCTAGTCGGACTGCCTGTTTAAAGTGTGTTTGATGCTGAGTTAGCTGCAGGGTAATGGTTGATTTTGACGCGGAGCAGTGAAAGCCGCAAGGAAATTGTCTCCACGATGCCGTCTTATTTTTGCACGATAGCCAGCTATTTGTGATGGTATGTTGTTGACAAGGTGTAGGCATCTTGACCGCGAGTGCTTGTTTAGGGTATTAAGGTTTTACAGTAGGTCCCTCTTCTCTCCATTTTATTGTTCTTCGTTCCCTAGTTCACCGTGGTTGTAGGCCAGCGAAGTATCAGTTCAATTGGCTGATGTACCGCTGTGGATGTTGAGGATGATGACAATGGAGTCGGCTCATCAGATCGATGTTTGCGCTGATGGTTTATAACGCATTAAGTCAATCACGTTGGTTTATCTACTAAGTTTTGCAACCCATTGTGTCCAAACCCGTCATTACAAACTACAGGAATTCTGTAGTTAACAGAAAAAAGACGGATTTGGTGACCAAAGTTAATTCGGTAATTGAAGTCCCCACCTAGTATGTTATGTTTCGTACGACAGCAGGGAACAGATAGTACCAAGATTACGGAATGGGGCACGCGGAAGGTTGGCAATGCAGACGAGAAGTATACCGCGGGAAACGTCACTAACAACTAACAACAGAGATGCAGAGACGTTTTCTAGCTCATGGCAGTCAAGAGACGCCGCTGCAAATGCGCAGCGGAGATATATAAGACAGCCACCTCCAAATCTTGTGGAACAATCTTTATGAAGTAGTTGGCAGTTAGGGGTCGCTAGAATGAAATCCAACGTAATAGTAGAACAGTGTTTCAGTGACGAGGACCGCTCTTGGAATGTTCAACTGTGCAATAATATGTAGGAAGTGAAGCTTGCTGTTAATAGATCTTGCACTAATCGGAGACGGAGAAAATGATCTGCGTGTGGTGTGGATTTTGGTAAACACATTAGAAAACAGCGTTTGAAATGCAAAAAGCGGCAGTATCGCGACGTCAACTAGAAGCTCAACAGCAGAATATACATCACCACCGTCCATGAAGTCGTGTTTGCAGTAACGAGAATAGGATTGTTCAAGCGCAGAATTTTGTACGACTGTCAGCTTTCAGTAACCGATACTTGCGAACGACTGCTCGTGTGTGGTAGCGGCATCATGTAAGTACTACGGAAGATAGAAGCCTATCTCTTGAGCAAATAGCCCTTGCCTTCAAAAAGTAATTCTCCAACACAGCGCAATGTCAAGAAGAAATGACAATTTCTCGCGGAAGGTTTATAACACGTATCATTCCTATAATTACCCAAAACCACGGGCATCCAAGGAGACATCGCAACAGGCGTGGTGTGATTGGAGAGTTGAGCCACCTTTGGTTCAGTATACAAGTCCACTCAGTGAAGCTGTCCAATATGGAACGGCGTACCAGATACCTTTTCCGTAATCCCAATATATAGTCACAGATCCGGTAAAATCATGGCTCAACAGATCCAGTTCCTCGATCGTTTGTATCAGCGGTGCACGCTGTTCAATTTCAATATTTGAAATGCAATCCTCTACAAAACGAAGGCATATATCCGCTTTCGCTATCCTGGTTCGGAAGCTCACATATCTGTTGAGCGATTTCAACATTCATCACTGGAAGGAGTACTTTTTGGGTAAAGTCACATCAAACCTTTGGCTTACATGATGATGATAGGTAGAAGTGCCAGAGAGCTAAATATTGATTACACGCAGTTTGAACGATGGATCCAAAAATCTTAGAAACAGCTACTATTACTGTACTCAATTAACAAAGGGAATAATAGGCACAATCACTCGCAAAAACTAAGATAGACAGCTCGAATGATAGTTAAGTAACGGTGCTCGTCAGCCAGGGTAACATAAAAGGACGCAGGTATTTTCTTGAACACAGCTCGGGCCTCAAGTAACAAACATATGTGGCCTCGGCAATAGATAGCAGTTGTTTGCGGAAGCATCGCGAGTAACGTTCAGGCAATGAATAGAGCATGCTCTCATGCTGCGTAGACAGGGTGTAACGGAACTGAAATCTTTGAAACCTTCATTTCGCGTCTGTAGAACCACATTAGGATATGCTCACGGG